GGATGACAGGTTGAGCGCTGGCTGGCCCCATCCCCGTGTGTCACAAGGACCCACTTGCACGCAGCCAAAAGGCAAAGAGGTAAAGAAAAGGAGGAAACCAAACCTGACAGGGAAAGAAAGCCTATCAGTCAAACAAAGCAAATGACACATCCCACAGATAATCCAATTGCCACAAAGCAAATAACGCATCCCACAGATCAACATATTTTTTCTTTTTTCTTATTTACTTTTTTTCTTTTTTTCTTTTTTTCTTTTTTTCTTTTTTTCTTTAACTCCGTATCTGTCGGTAGTGTCGAAGGCTTTATCTGTCCCCACCTCGGCAGATAGGACAGCTATGGTGAGGATGATGTGGATGTTCACAAGGATACCCAAGGAGAGCTGCGCTAGCACAGCATTCAGCAGGACGGATAGCACGAACCATCCCATCAAAACAGTCCTGACAGAGGACATGTTGTCCACATGTCAAAAGAACAGCAGGACGTTCATCACAGTGCCATCATGCAGTTCTGATAGCGTCCTTGAGCACAAAAGGGACAATGTATATCTGGGTGATAGGGATGTGTACAATGTCATGCAGTTCTGATAGCGTCCTTGAGCACAAAAGGGACAACGTATATCTGGGTGATAGGGATGTGTACAACGAGGAAATGTTGGACACCCTTCAGTACAGACGGCGGCAGTTGCAATAGATTGATAATGGCTATGGCATAGATGATGAATTCCACAGCCAAGGCGCACCATGTCTCTGTCCCGACAGGTGTCACACGAGAGTCGGTCAATAATCCAGAACAAAGTATGATTCTACAATGCACACAAAAATTCATTTACGTCGAAAATAGCCTGACTCATTGTCCCACCATCCCACAGTTCCCACTGGGCAGCTGCACGAATGAGTGCCATATAATGCCCGGGCCTGTGTAAAATACAGGCACAAATATGAGGATGGTTATTGAGGTCATCTCGCCTGGCGTCGCATGATGCATAAGAAGGTGGCCGCCGTGGAACGCTAACTGTAAGACATTTACAGTAAAGCCTCCTGAGGTAGCATAGTTACTGCCTTCAGGAGGTGCACTATTATGATCATACAACAACTGATTTTCAACAGCGTAAAGCTGATAAGCAATCGTAACAAATTGGGATGCAGTATAACAT